AACTGAAGTAGCTCTTTATTCTCTAACTATTACAGGCCCTTTAAAAAAGAATATACTTTCTATATGTGTGTGTACAGATCTACACACACATACATATATATACTCACATACACACACGTACGCATTTCTTTCTTCTTAATCGTTCTCTGTTAATCTTTCCAGTTCTTCAAATCATCTGAACAGTCATCTTCATCTTGAATCTTTAAGTGAGCATTCAGAAAACGCTAAGATGATTCATACGGTTTGGTCACTTACTTTATTAATCCCACTGTTTTTCATCAAAAAGTACACTGACTGGACTATTATCGAATTTCCGAATTAATAAAACAGCTTCCTAGTGGAAAATTTCCAGGGGAGAAATTGACATCAAAAGGCACCACCCAGCCTCAAGAACGAACGAGTAACAAAAGAGTAAATACAAACACATAAATAATATTTTCCCAGAACTAACAATTATAGGTTAATAACTCTTGAAGATAAATGATGTCTATTGAATCAATAGTATATGGTTAAGAAGAGAAGCCAGGTGCAGTGTCTCATACCTGTAATACCAGCACTCTGGGAGGCTAAGAGAGGAGAATCACTTGAGGCCAGAAGTTCAACACCAGCCTGGACAACATAGCAAGACCCCGTCTCTGTAAAAAATTTAAAAATAAGCCATTGTGGTGACACACACCTGTAGTCCTAGCTACTCAGGAGGCTTAGGTGAGAGGGTCACTTGAGCCCAAGACGTTGAGTGAGCTATGACCATACTTCAGCCTGTAAACAGAATGAGGCCCTGTCTCTCAAAAAAAAAAAAAAAAAAAAAAAAACCATATAATCAATCCACCAATGTACTAATTGTTTTACAGACAGTTGGTGACATTATTTGGTTTGACATTTGACATATTTAAAAGCAATTCTAGCAACACAGGGGAAGAAAATAACTCTTACCAGGAAATAGCTAGAAAAATCAGCAGGGTGAGATAAAAATTAGGCCCCATTAATTGCAAATACTGTATCATTTAGGGATACTTGGCCATGATTTTTTATCAGCTTTTGTCTAGCCGGTTTTTTACACTTGAGAATCTTAATATTTTCCATTTTCATTTACAGTGCGTGCAGAACACACACATTCCAGACATTTTACAGACCACTTCACCACTGTTATTTAAGAGCTAAATTCACTGCCATCATCATCATCATCATCATCATCATGGAAACTTACTTTGCTACTCATCACGTTTCTAGATCTCAAACTTTCAACACGCAGCAGGGTCTAGTGAGAGGGGCAAGTAAATATGCTAATGAGGCTGGGTGTGGTGGCCCACACCTGTAGTCCTAGCACTTTGGAAGGCCATGGCAGGGGGACTGCTTCAGCCCAGGAGTTCAGACCAGCCTGGGCAACCGTGGTGGCACATATCCATAGTCCCAGCTACTTGGAGGCTGAGGCAGGAGGATTGCTTGAGCCCAGCAGTTTGAGGCTGCAGTGAGCTATGATCATGCTACTGCACTCCAGCCTGAGTGACAGAGCAAGACCCCATCTGTTTTAAAAAAAATGCTGATCAGCAGAGGGTGACACTGATAATATGAGTTTTGAAGAGAAATGCCTATGCAGTACATTTGGAGAAACAGGCAGCCAGCATCAAGGGAGCGGAAAGGTGGAGAGAGAAGGGAAGAGGCATGTGCGCATGACGCGCCCAAGACATGATTCACCTCTGGGGATTCTGTTCTGTTGATGCAGTGGCCGTCAACCTTCCCTCAACACACACACATCCAGGGGGCTGTCCAGAGCTTCAAGAAAAGGTGCTGGCTAGAGGGAAAACAACAGAGGAGAGTAGGTAAGAAACAGCAGAGGAATGAATAGGAGAGGGGGAGTGGTCAGTGAAATTCTCAAAGGATGCTAGTGACATATATAGCAGTGCAATTTTGGAGTGAACTTGTTTTCTGTGGGGGAATTGTTTTGGCAGGTGGCGTGATCATCCTGAATACCCATTTCATGAGGAATACTGACTGCAGGGAGTTCCTGAACAAATTTTTCGCTCCCATGAGTACCAAGACTGTGGGATGGGTAGTCCCCTGGATGTGAAAATGAAAGGGGTTTTACCATCCTGAGGTGAAATAATGATGGAAATGTGTTTAACGTTTGGGTGGCGTCAGTGACTTTGAACTAGTCACATTGAAGTAAAAATATTAAAATCTGTTGAAATAACTCTTAGGAAATTGTCAACTAATTTGAATTTAGATCAATATCTTCTAGGTTCCAGACAGAAAAAATTAGACTTCAGAAAAGACATCAAAGGCAACGTATGAGAACATGTAACTCATAAATCTGGGTAGTACTATTGGTAATCTGAGTTCTTTAAGAGTTAACAGAACAACAAGGTACATGTGGCAGTGTGCTGGCAGTGGCCTTGAGGCTTTGGATCCTTGGTTATACAACAGACACAGCCAAGATAAGATCCGCACATGCATTATTAACAAGGAAGTGATTTGCTCCACCTTGGGTAGAGAGGTCTACCTGGAGAAAAGTCTTCAAACAGAGCTAAACTCCACAGTGATCAACAAAGCCATCATGACGTTGTTTGTTTCCAGCCAATGTGTGTTTGTTTAGCTTTTATCCAGCTTGAAGAATGAAAACTTAACTGGATCTCTCTTGTACCCTTAAAGCCTGAGCGTCAACATGGCTGGTGATGCATACTCACACATCTTACGATCAATCTTACCTGTACTGACTATAAAACCACTATTATGTGAAAAGGCTTGAAACAACCAACAGACACAAATAAAACCCTGCCTTGTAAAATAGTTCTCAGATGTCTATTTTAAAAGAGGGATTTAAAAAGGAAACATTGGGAAATATATTGAAAGAAGGTGCTTTATACGATTATTGTACTTAAGACTTTAACAGTGTTACTGGGATAGCTTCTAGAACTTCTGAGAAAGTAGCAAGTTCAAAAGAACACTGGTAATTTTACTGTATGTCCAGTTTAAAGAGTGAATTAGATTACGAGAATTCAGCAACAGAGACATATCTATTTTCAATTCAATACAGAAATATATTTTAATCATTCACATTAGGTCACTGTCACAGGATGAGACAGTTCTTCAAAAACTATGTTTTCCTGAGGTCAGTTGCTTATAGACAAGGTTCAATAACATCAAGACATGCATTTCTGGGAAATTATCACTTTTAAAAATTTGATCTATACTGATTATTTTCACTGATTCCGACATTATTATTTACAAAACTGCCCTCTGGAAAATATTTTGTTCACAAGAAATAATAAAGTATAATGATTTGTTGCATCATATGAATCTCCATTCTCTTTCTAAGTTGGGGGAAGGGAAGAATCATCTGAAGCCAATTAAATTAAAAGGCTGATTTAATTCCTGCTGTATATTTGGCACTGGGAAGAGAGGAAAGAAAAGGGGGTGCCACTAGGCATGGTGGCTCATGCCTGTAATCCCAGCAATTTGAAAGGCCAAGGCAGGTGGATCACATGAGCCCAGGACTAGCCTAGGCAACATGGCAAATCCCATCTCTACCAAAAAAATACAAAAATTAGCCAGGAGTGGTGGCACACACCTGTAGTCCCAGCTACTCAGGAGGCTGATGTGGGAGGATCACTTGAGTTGGGGAGGCAGAGGTTGCAGTGAGCCAAGATTGTGCCACTGCACTCGAGCCTAGGTGACAGAGAGATTCTGTCTCAAGGAATAAAGGAAGGAAGGAAGGGAAGGAAGGAAGGAGGGAGGAAGGGAGGAAGGGAGGGAGGGAGGGAGGAAGGGAGGGACAGGGGAAAGAAAGAAAAAGAGAAAGCAAGAAAAGAGAGAAAGAAAGGAAAGACAGGAAAGAAGGGAGGAGAGAGAAAAAGAATGAAAAGGAAGGAAGGGAGGGAGGGAGGAGGAAGGGGATAGAAAGAGAGAGAAAGCCAGAAAGAAAGAGGAAGCAAAAAGGAGGGAGGGAGGGAAAGAAGGAAAAGGAAGGAAGGAAGGAAGGGAGGGAGGGAGGGAGGGACAGGGGAAAGAAAGAAAAAGAGAAAGCAAGAAAGAAAGAGGAAGGAAGGAGGGAGGGAAAGAAGGAAAAGGAAAGAAGGAAGGAAGGAGGGAGGGAAAGAAGGGAGAAAAGAAGGGAAGGGAGGGAGGAGGGAAGGGAGGGAGGGAGGAAGGGAGGGAGGAGACAGAAAGAAAAAGCAAGAAAGAGAAAGAAGAAAGAAAAGAAAGAGAGAGAGAGAGAAAGAAAAGGGGGTACCATTAGAAGAGCAGGACCTTGAGTCCTGCTCTCTGCTGTCAAAGCCCTTCAAAATACTTTGAGGGGATTAGTGTAGAGATGAAAATGGAAACAACACCTACCGAAGCATTGTTAAAACACAGGCATTGGTAAAAAGTCCCATCTTCTGTCAGCACAAAGGTATTTCTAAAAACTGGAAGGGAGCAGTCCTCTCTTAGTCATAACAGAGATGGAGGGAAAAGATCTGGAGACAGAAAGTAGGAAGGTCAGGAAAGAAGTCTGATGGAAGTTCCTACATGTTCCTTCTCTCTCACTGTCACCCCTCTCAAGCCCCCTATCTGTTATGGGTTGAACTGTGTCCTCTCAAAATTCATATGTTAAAGCCCAGCCCCCATTACCTCAGAATGTGATCCTATATAAAAATAGGGCCAGGGGTGATGGCTCATGCCTGTAATCTCAGCTATTTGGGAGGCTAAGGTGGAAGAATTGCTTGAGGCCAGGAGTTCGAGATCACCCTTGTCAATAGAGTGAGACCTCATCTCTACAAAAATTTTAAAATTAGCTGGATATTCTCAGCTAGTTGGGCGGCTGAGGCAGGAGGACTGCTTGAGCCCAGGAATTTGAGGCTGCAATAAGCTATGATCCTGCCACTGCATTTTAGGTTGGGTGGCAAAGCAAGACCTCATCTCTTAAAATTAAATAAAATAGCATCGTTGCATATCTAATTAATTAAGATGAGATGGGGCAGGGTGGAGTAGGGTGAACCCTAAACCAATAAGACTGTGTCCTCATGAAAAAGGGAAATTTGGACACAGAAAACACACAGGATGAATGCCAGATGGAAACAGAGGTAAGGGTGGTGCTTCTACAAGGTAAGAAGTGCCCCAAAGGTTGCCAACAACCACAAGAAACTAGGCAAAAGGCATGCAACAGGTTTCCCCTCAGCCCAGAAGGAATCAATGTTTCCAATACCTCGATCTCAGACTTCTAGCCTTCAGGGCTGTGAAACACTACAGTTCTGTTTTTTAAGCTACCCAGTTTGTGGAACTTAGTTATATCAGTTTTACAAACGAATACACCATGCCTCAGGAAAGATTTCCTGTCGCTCTATAGCTAACATCGGCTGTAAAAATGTCCTTACCAAGTCAATCCTTTGCTGAGCCTAAGTACTGACAACCAATAATCTCGACTTTTTGGGGACTTTTGCAGCCCCAAAGCGGTATTTGTTAACCCAAATCAATTTTTCTTATCAGTGGCCTCTGATCAGCTATGTAGAAAGATCCATCAACAGTGATGCAACCCACCTGAAAAAAGAGGGGAGACCTATGGCATGCCATGCACCCTTTGAAACATACCTGTCCACAGAAAAATACCCAGCTGGAGTGGCAAGGACATCCTGCCCCGGTGCACGGAATGTTTCTGGATCTGCAGTGTTTCTTGATGTTTTTGTAGTTCATGAGCATAATGACTGGGTGTTCATGTGCATGTGTGAGATGTGCCACCCTCAAACCTTGTTACGACATCAGCACATTACCCGTATGACATGAAAAAAAACACGTTCCATATCCCTGACAGTTCTCCAGGAGGGCCTCCTTCAGGCACTGTTGTCCCATCCACAGTGAATGATACAGCACCAGGAGAGGGCATTGGAGTGGCATAGGCAATGATCCCGTGTCTTCAGCCTTCAACACGTTGAGGTGTGTGCATTCCAAGGCCACAGTCACAGGGATTGACAAAGTTGAACAAACTCATATTTCCAAGACTTGGTATTTCTCAGAACTCTCAAAATTTCAGGCTTCTGCTGATAACTTCAAAGTCTGCTTCTTGAATCAGAATCCTCCCTGAATCTGAATGGCAGCCTTAATGTTTCTGGCTCCACACATGAAGTCTCCAAATTCTCACTTTAGCTTCTTCCACTCTAGTCTCTGCCTCCCATTCATGAGAAACAGGATTAGAGGGTAATCCCCAACTAATAGGCTTACTGTCTCACCTAAGGGGCATTTTGGTAAAAGGCTTTTACTGGTGAATCACATCTCTTCTGGCAGGTCTTATCTCCCTTGGCATCCCTGTTTGGATTCTTCAGGATCCCAGCTGGAGCTCAGGCTGCCCTCCCTGGATGTAGTAACTCCCTAGCTTGGCACCAGATTCTCCTTTTTGCCAGGGCACATGCTTGCCTGATTTAGCTCAAAGCAGATCAGACTTTCTTAATCAGGCCATATTCTCTTCACTCTGTGCCTTCTGCACTCCAAGCTTGAACCAAAACTTGGTTCCTTTATGCAGGATTTCACTGAAGGCCACAGGAAGCATCCAGCACAATCTTCCAACCCACCAAAGCCTGAGCCTTGGCAGGCACATGGTCCAAGTTTCAAAACGTAAGTTACACTTTAAGTGAATCTGGTGAATGTGCTGGAGTTCTGGTCTGGTGGGGAGTACTGGGGGTGCTGGGGAGAAAAGGAAGGGGCAGGGGCGTGGGAGGAAGCCCTCCTATCTGTCTTTTATTAATAGTTGCTTATCTTCCTTTTATTCTCTGGTTTCTCATCACTCCAGCCAGCAGAGACCAGCCCAGGATGAAGCCTGGGCAGTAGCCTGGGAGGAACTGGGCTTCAGGACCACAGGGGCCCAGGTGTGCCAGGGAAGCGCAGAGGTCCCAGTGTGTGAGCAGGAAGCCCAAGCGACAGCTCCAGTGGACCCTGGCGGGGGCAAGGGCACAGCACGAGCAGCTGCATATGTGAACAAGGTACACAGCGGGGCACAGTGGTTGCAGAGCCTGAGCACACCAAAGAATGCATCGGATTTCAAGGGTCAAAGTGCAAGGGGGCAGCTTTTGATTTTGGGGGCAATGAACTAGGACTTGATGGGCCAAAAGGAAGTGTCTAAACAGCAAGCTGCTTACCGCAATCTCCATCAGAATTTGTGGGGTGGATAGCGGTCTGGGGTTTTGTGCTGCACACAGTACCCTCATCACCAAACAAAGGAAGATGTGGAGCTGGGGTCAGAATGAGAAGGAGCAGCTGGGACCCGGCAACACCAAGAGAATGGAGGCCCCCAGACTCACTGAGGATCTCTACCAGGAAGTGAGTGTGTAGGCAGCCTGTGGGCGGAACCTCACCTTGGCCTTGATGGAAACAGGCTCTGCGTTTGCATTTGGGGAGAACAAGATGGGGCAGCTGAGCCTCCGCAGCCACACAGAAGCATCCCCAGCCCCAAGCAGATCATGGACAACGGGCAATTACCAGAATGGCCAGTAGAAATGAATTCAGTACAATGGGCGGCAAAGAAAACCTACTCGATATGCTCAGCTTGGACCCAGGCACAGTGAATAGTGTAAGACTGCAGGCTGGTGCCGGTGCCCTGGCGAGTTTCATTCTGCACTGAGAGTGAAAGATGGGCAGATGCTGCCTGTACCAAAGGTGGTTGTGTGTTGAGAGAAGCAGCAATAAAGGAAGGGCTTACAGTGTGCCTACATAAACTGGTTATATGTATAAAAGAAATAATGAACAATAAACTGTGGAAGGCCTCTCTATGCCTCATGTTCCAGTGCAGGGTGACCTAGGCTCTGTTACCATAAACATTGTGTTCAAGGACATAAAACCCCTTTGTAGCACCAAGACATAACCAGACTCATAGGAACCTTGTAAGGCCCTGGTGTTCCACCAGCTGCACATAGATAATAAAGATAACCACATGTTCTTATTTTGTGAAACTCACAAACTGCCACTGTTATCAATCTTTAGAATGACACACCAGTTCTGGCTCACTGATTCACTCCACCATCATGTCACCCTCTCCCCACCATCACTCTACCCCTACCCTATAGATCAAAGTGATAGTAACCAATAAATACTGTGAGAGATCAGAGCTCAGGGCCTTGACTGCCTCCAGTAGTAAGTGATGGCCCTCAGTCCCACTTTCACTCTTAATCTGTCTTTTCCTCAATCCTTTGTCCTCACTGAACTCGGGGTACCCACAGGTGATGTGGGGCTGGTTCCCCACAGTTGTGAAACCAGGAGAGCAGGACGGGGACCCCCTCCCCATTTTCCTTACACACTGTGCTAACCAAAGCTACATCCAACCTTGCAACCACGCAACCACAAACGTTTCCTTTCACAAAAACTAATCAAATCTGAGACAGAGCATTCTGAGCACAAGCATCTCAGCTAACAGCGGGGACTTTGCAAAAGATGCTCCCCAATGCATTTTCCCAATACTGTCCTAGCCTGTCCTAACCTGGTCTTTTTTCATTTCAGTAGTAAAAATCATACCCCTGGTGGAGATTTAAGATGCTAATGAGACATGCATCACATGAAGAAGCGTGGCCAGAGACTGCATAGGTGCAACTGCCAGACCACCCCAAACATGCAATGATGTCACATGGAGGAGCTACAAAGCAAATGAAACCCCAAACTAACTTGCTGTTGGGTTGCTAGCTGCAGGTCTCTTCCCATTGCTACCTCCCCTTCCGCTCAAGCTGAAAGCTCCAATAAACTGCCTTGGTCAAGCCCATCTCACATTCATAGTCTATTTCTATTGACTAAGGGTCAAGAACCCACCAGCCAGTAACAGTTGTGATGTGGCCTGTGATGCTAACCACACATTGATTCTGGACTCCGAGTCATGAGTCTTCTCCTGGGGCTTTGGTGGCTATGGTTGGCTGGGCCACTCAGAGCAGAAGGATGAGATGGTCCCCGCTTGGTAAAGTTGGAGTTTGACTTCCTTGGGTGTGAGGCCTCCCAGATCCATGTTGGTTACACCTGATCCTTTGCTGTCTGTGAAATTGGTGTCTCGTTTTCTGGGGAGCCCAATATCTCCCATGAATCCACCATGTACCTGAAAGCAGTGCAGGACCTCTGTGGCTGGAAAATCCTAAGCCTGGCTTATCGGAAGAGCAGCAGCGTTGTGGCCGCCAATGAAGGTACCATCAGCTGGGTGCCATCATCAACCTTTAAGTAATTGGGCTACAGGGGCCACGAGCCCAAGTCTTCCACTGCAGCCCGAGGTGAAGACTCTGGATGGCATCTCTTCAAAGCAGGTCGCCATAGGCTACTCCTCGGTGATAGCGAGGGATGAAAGTGAGACCAAGAAAGAGAAGATCAAGAAACTGCTAGACTACAGCCCCTGAACCCTGGGATGCTCCTGAGGAATCCTGCAACTCCACACATCTCCCAGAAGCTGTCGTTTCCCTGTACACTGAAAGGTAGAGTCAAACAAGGAATTTAAAAAGGAAAAGTTGGTCAAAGATGCATTTTCATTAGACTCCCTGAGGTTCCATTTTTATAAGAGAACCAATGTTAATTATCCTTTTCTGTATACTTTTTAAAGTCTGTTTCTTTTCTCTCTTCATGTTTAATTAAAATATTTGCACATATTTGGAAAAAATATGAATTGAACCTCATATTTAAAAAATATGAGTCATTGGCCAGGCACAGTGGCTCACACCTGTAAACCCAGCACTTTGGGAGGCAAAGGTGGGCAGATCACGGCATCCAGAGATCAAGACCATCTGGGCCAACATGGTGAAACTCCACCTCTACTAAAAGTACAAAATTAGCCGGGTGCGGTGGTGCTCCCTGTAGTATCAGCTACTCGGGAGGCTGAGACAGGAAAATTGCTTGAACCTGGGAGGCAGAGATTACAGTGAGCCAAGATCATGCCACTTCACTCTAGCCTGGCTACAGAGTGAGACTCTGTCTCATAAATAAATAAATTAAATTTAAAAATGAAAAATATGAGTTGTTATAAAACAGTGGTAGAGACATCCAGACTCCCAATGAAGACTGTGTTTCCCATTATCCTTCACCCAAATTAACTCAGTCAATTCTAACTTTCAGGAGTATACACTTGTTATGCCCCACTTCCATATAGCTATATTTCCATCAGGATGTTCTTAGTTCCTAGTAACAGAAATGCAATTCAGACTAGTTTAAGCAGAAATGGTGAATTCAATTTGTCACAGAACTGGAAACAAAGAAGTGCAGGGGTAAAGCGGCTTTAAGCAGCTAGAACTAGGGCTCAAACAGTGTGTTTACAACTTGTGACTGGTCCCCACCCCCAGGTGGACTAGCTGTCTCCAGACAGCAGGCATGATAGCTCTCAGCAACACTGGGCTCTCCTTCAACCAGACTAGGAACCCAGAAGAGAGTGAGAGTCTTTGGTAATAGCTCTGTCAAGGAAGTAATCCAGGGTAGAACTCTGATTGGCTAGCATGCATCATGCTGGAACCAATCATGATGGCCTGGGGCAGTCTGAATGGACGGGCTTGAGACATAAACTCATCCCTGTGCAGAGAAGAAGAAAGAGAAGAATGAGGGAGACTGCAGGAGGGGGAAGGAAAGGCGAGAGGGTAGGAGCGGTAGAACTAGAGGAGGACTGAGGGAGAAGGAATCATAAGGAACTACAATCCTGCCTGAATCACCAGAAATAGGTTGCCCCAAGAAGCAGACAAAATAAGAGATGTCTGCAACAAAGACTTTCAGGATATAGAGATAAATAAAATTTAAAAGCTATTGGAACCCGCAAAACACATTAAGTAAGCCCTGAGTGAGATGTTACTGTGATCTGAGTCACACATGGTTACAACTTCTGTTCTCAGGGAGATTCACTCACTTTCCTATTTTTCTTGTTCTGCACAATGACTAGAGAGAATCAGACTACACCACATATAAACGCCTCCTTCATTCCTCATTAACAGCCCTGGTATAGAGTCACTTCCCCTTTGTCGCCTCACTTTGCTTGGACCAGATGACAGAAAACGCATGACTATTACACCCTCTGTAAAAACTGTTAAATGCCCCTTCCCAAAAGAAAACACTGTCTATAACCAATCAAATTGCTGTAACGAGGCACCAAACCTGTATAAATAGTGTAATCCCACTAAAATCTCGGTCTCCGCCTAGATAAATGAAATCTTAACTTCCCTGCTTCAGAATGCTGTCTCCATTCCTTTGGAGTTGGTGTTTATGGCTGGTCCATCCTCACTCTTTGAGCTTGAATAAACTCTCTTTAAATTAGACTCTGAACCTCTTGATCATTTTAGATTGACAGGAGTTTTGGAGTACTAGGTTTTAGCTTCCTGCTTCCCTCATTTCAGATTCCCACAAAAATGATACAGTAGAAATCTCTATCAGTGCTGAAAATCAAGAAGGTTGCTGCCTATCAGAGGGTGTAAATGAGAAGAAACTGTCAAAGTATAATTTTTTTTTAAATCACACTTTGGGAGCTCGAGGCAGGCGGATCACAAGGTCAGGAGTTCGAGACCAGCCTGACCAACATGGTGAAACCCTATTTCTACTAAAAATACCAAAAATTAGCCAGGCATGGTAGTGCATGTCTATAATCCCAGACACTTGGAAGGCTGAGGCAGAAGAATTGCTTCAACCTGGGAGGTGGAGGTTGTAGTGAGCCGACATCATGCCACTGCACTACAGCCTGGGCAACAAAGCGAGACTCTGTCAAAAAAAAAAAAAAAAAAAAAGATTCTTATATAAACATAAAACGAGTACATACCAGTGACTTAATTATCTTATTAATGATGGAAACAGAAAAATGGTAAAAAGAACCACCAAGAGAATTGGAGAAAGTGAAGTATTTTCAGCAGCTGAAAGAAAGGATGCATGGATCAAATTGCTCATTTAGATCCAAACTAGTTTAGCCTTCTGAAAGGCAATACAACCAAGTAACTTTTGAGTTTACCTTTTCTACCAGATTTAATAATTTACATCTCTACAATAAAAGATCCATTTGCATTGTTATTGGACAAAAGTCATTTTCATCACTATCAGGTTTCTATTAGTTAACAACTACCCTTACAAAATTGCAAATTATCCTATTAAATGATTAATTCAGCTGATCTGGGATATTCAAACCCTGCTCCCTCCAAAGAAAGGTCTAGCTATTAACCACCTATTGGCACATAACTTCTAAGGCGTTGGAATGTCATTCCTGAGAAGAATGTCTTGGCTTATCTGGGGCTTTGGGCCACACTAGACAGTTTATGCTAACAATGTGATTTATTAAGAGGGGTGGGGAGGGAGATGGTTACATGATGTCAGTTTGACTTCAAAGGGCTGGAGACTGAGTAAGGTCAGCTATGTGGGCACTCCAAGCCTATATGACTGACCTCCTATAAAAACCCTGGATCTCAAAGTTTAGATGAGTTTCTCTGGTTGACAATACTGCTTATGTGTTGTTACACACCACTGCTGGAAAAAGGAAACACTATCCATACAACTCCACTGAGAGAGAACAAGTGGACGTTTGTGCCTGGTCTCTCTCTTGGACTCTGCCATACTCTCCTTTTACCTTGGATAACAAATCTATACTCTTTTTCTATAATAAACCATAACCATGAGTAGAACAGCTTTTCTGAATTCTGCGGTTCCTTCTAGCAAATTACTGAACCAGAGGGTAGTCTTAAGAACCCCATACCATAAATAATTAACAGCAAATCCAAAAAAGTTATAAAGTTTCCACAGGGGAATCAGTCCTTGAGGGAACCTGCTGGACACTGCCCACAACAGCACTGAAAGTTGACACTCATTTTTTTAATCCACTTTCACCTTTTAGATAATTTTTTTTTTTTTTTTTTTTTTGAGATGGAGCTTCACTCTTGTTACCCAGGCTGGAGTGCAATGGCACAATCTCGGCTCACAGCAACCTCCGCCTCCTGGGTTCAGGCAATTCTCCTGCCTCAGCCTCCTGAGTGGCTGAAATTACAGGCACGTGCCACCATGCCCAGCTAATTTTTTGTATTTTTAGTAGAGATGGGGTTTCACCATGTTGACCATGATGGTCTCAATCTCTTGACCTCGTGATTCACCCACCTCGGCCTCCCAAAGTGCTGGGATTACACGCGTGAGCCACCATGCCCAGCCTGATAATTTTTCTCAATGTGTCTTAGGGAAAATACAAAGTTTTATGCTTTCATGAGTTGTGGCAGGGATACAAAAATATCTTTAATGTCATGATAGGCCTTTATCTACTCTACAAATTTGTGGTAACAAAGTATATTGAAATCTGCGTGAATCACCCTGATGCCCACAGAAAATAGATGACTATGCAAACTGACCAATACTGAATACACACCCCTTGATAAAGAATTTTGCCTTCATAAACTATTTGTAATGTATTTATATTGTTATAACATATGTATACATAAGTATATATAAATACATACACTCACAGTAAAGTACATGAAGTACACTAATCTGATGTATACATCTCAGTGATTTTTTTTTTTACATATATACACACCTGTATTATTCCTTTCTGCATTGCTATAAAGAAATACCTGAGATGGGGTAATTTATAAAGAGGAGAGGTAATTGACTCACAGTTCCACAGGCTGTGCAGGAAGCACGATGCTGGCCATCTGCTCAGCTTCTGGGGAGACCTCAGGAAACTTACAATAGCGGGAGGTGAAGGAAAAGCAGGCTTATCCTACATGGCCACAACAAGAGCAAGAGAGTGCAGTGGGGGTTGGGAGGTGCCACACACTTTTAAACTACCAGATTTTGTGAGAACTCTATCAGTAGAATAGCACCAAGGAGATGATGCTAAACCATTCATGAAGGATACACCCTCACCATCCAATCACCTGCCACTGCGCCCTGCCTCCAACACTCAGGATTACCATTTGACATGAGATTTGGGTGGAGACACAGATACAAACCATATCATTCTGCCCCTGCCCCCCACCTCCTCCCACCAAATCTCATGTCCTTCTCACATTTCAAAATACAATCATGCCTTCCCAACAGTCCTCCAAAGTCTTAACGCATTACAGCATTAACTCAAAAGTCCACAGTCTCACCTGAGACAAAGCAAGTCCCTTCCACCTATGAGCCTGTAAAATCAAAAACAAGTTAGTCACTCCCAGTATAGGCATTGGGTAAATACTCCTGTTCCATAAGGGAGAAATTGGCCAAACTAAAGGAACCACAGGCCCCATGCAAGTCTAAAACCCAGCAGGGTAGTCATTAAATCTTAAAGCTCCAAAATAATCTCCTTTGACTCCATGTCCCACATCCAGGATATACTGGTGGAAGGGGTTGGCTCCCAAAGCCTTGTGCAGCCCCACCCCTGTGGCTTTGCAGGGTTCATCCCTTTCGTCTGCCCTCAAGGGCTGGTGTTGAGTGCCTG